GTAAAGAAAAAAAGTGATCCAACTCTATAGATCTAGCCTTTGGACCAAAAAAAGACCCAGGGGGCAGTGAGACCCTCGCCACGGTCATTCCCAAATCCAACAGCCACAGGAGGCAGGGAGGAGACAGCACGGCCCCCACCACAGTTTCTGCACACAACGAGGCCTGCTGGGAGAATACAACATGAATGGGAAGCTACAGAAGTATTGAAGGACAGAAGAACAGGAAAATGGGCAGAAGAGGAAAGGAAAGGAAGAGGAGGTCTCAACTTAGCAAGGTAAATTAAGGTCCACGGTTCCTGAGGGACTGAACGCACCGAGCCGAGAACGTCTCGGAGACTGGGTACCACCAAGGGTGTAAGTATTCTCATGCACGACCACAGCTCGGAATTTCAACCCACACACATCCCACCGTGAAACTCTGTGTTATCAAGACCCCTGATGGCCGCCACTGAATCCTCTGCCGACATGCAACTTGGTTGAGGTTTTGCTCTTATTCTTGCTGGCTTCCATGTTGATGTTTACCCCATGAAGCTTGTAACAGTGCATTACAAGCATCTTCCTCTGCAGTTTTGGCATCTTCCTCTGCAGTTTTATCTTTTATGTGCACTAAGCCTAATTCTTAATGATGCTACATTCCAGCACCTTCCTTACTGCTCGAAGAGTGAGCGAATCTCCTGCTCTGTCGCTTCCTGGGGCAGGTTTCTGACAAACAGCTTCACCATCCTGACAACAGCCAGCACAGAAATCAGCAGGGCCTCCTCCTCGAGGTGCAGACGCTTCTGACAAAACGCTGAAATGGCGGCCAATTTTCTTCAACTTTTATTTTAGAATCAGGAGGTCCATGTGCATGATGCTGAAGTTTATGGTATGAATGATCTCATTACCCAGGTATTGAACGTGGTAGTACCCAACAGCTTTTCAGCCTTTCCCCCCTCCCTCCTTCTCCCCTCTAATAGTCCCCAGTGTCTATTGCTGCCATCTTTATGTCCCTGCCTACCCAATGTTGAGTCCCCACTTCTAAGAGAGAACATGTGGTATCTGCTCCTGCATTAATTCTGATTCACTTAGGATAATGGCCTCCAGCTGCAGCTGCATTCATGTTGCTGCAGAGGACATGATTTTGTTACTTTTTCTGGCTGTGTAGTATTCCATGGTGTATATGAAGATTTTCTTTATCCAATCGGCCATTGATGGGCACCTGGATTGATTCCATGTCTTTGCTCTTGTGAACAGTGCTATGACGAACATACGAGTGCATTACATCCTTTCTCTTCCTTTCCAGCATCACTTCCCTTTCCCCCTCACTCTTGCTTCCCTAGCACTGTACCCATAACGGAGCTCGAACTCCCCTACCTAAGACAGAGGAAACTGAAGCATCAGTCACATAGCAGAGGTTCAGTTAAAATTTAAAAAAAAAAATTAATAAAAATAAAAACACAAAAGCATACTGCCAGCTTTCAAGACACTTTTACTGGAGGGGGAAAAAAAAACTTATAAATGCCTCTAGATGTTTTTCTTCTAGATTTACTAATTAAATGGCTTCATCAGTTAAAAAAGGAGTATGAAGGCAGGACATGGTGGCTCACACCTGTAATCCCAGCACTGTAGGAGGCTGAGGCAGGCAGATCACGTGGAGTCAGGAGTTCGAGACCAGCCTGGCCAACAGTGTGAAACCCTGTCTCTATTAAAAACACAAAAATTAGCTGGACATTGTGGCGCATGCCTGTAGTCCCAGCTACCTGGGAGGCTGAGGCAAGAGAATCGCTTGAACCAGGGAGGCAGACGTTGCAGTAAGCCAAGATTGTGCCACTGGGTGGCACCATCACTAGCCTGGGTGACAAAGCAAGACTCCATCTTAAAAAAAAAAAAAGAGTGTAAGAAATTTGTATTTACATTTTTAGACATAAAGTTTTGGGCTGTGAATTATATGACTGCCTACCAGTTGCATACTTAAATTTTTTCACAGGCCCTCACATGCAACCGAAATATATAGTTATCAATGATTTGATGTCAAATTTAGACACTTGTACTCAGGAAGGTAAAATATGTAGATATCAATTACCTTAAAGATTAAATATTTATATGCCTATGGAAGCAAAATATTTTGTGATCAATAATTTACTGA